GTCGTTTCGTAAAAAGTATTGAAATCCTTTTCCAGCTTCAAATTTAAGGCAAAAATCAACTAATTTTTCATTAAAAACAGAATAAAGACATACAGAAAACTGTTGATTTTTAGTTTTGATGGATTTTTTTTTGCTTTACTTTATACTCAAACAAGCTCTATTTTATAGAGTTTCACTTATAAATACTGACAATCTGGAGGTATAAATTTATAGTTGAAGGAATTTTACAAAAACCTTTTTCAGCGGCGAATTCGGGACAAAAACGAAAATAAGTTTTCCCATTTTCCGAAAAAGGTTTTCTGGAAAACCGATCACAAAACATAAAGTTTTTAAAGACAAAGATAAAAAGTTTTTAAAGTTAAAAGTTTTTAATCGAAAGCGCAAAAAATCCATTATTTTCTTGTTTTCCGACAATCATGGGGTCTTTTCAACCAAAAACAGCACAATTAATTTTGTTAGAAAATTGGTCTCGTGCATCGCTTTGCAGGAAATTTTAGAAAGCCATTTTCAGCTTAGAATTTGGCACAAAAACCAAATAATTGTATTTACTTTTTTCCCAAAGTAATTAAGGCTATCGTTAAAAAACGGCCCCAGCAAAAGTTTACAAAAAACTATTTGGAAAATTCGAACCGATTCGAGGAAACCTCATCGCTCTAAAGAATTTTAAAGTTTATTTAAAATTTCAGGCCTTTCCTGTTTTAGCAAAGTTTTTATTGCTCAATACTCAAACACTGACAATATTCAGGTATTTTCTGTGACAAATTATCAAATACATTTTATGGAACACTCCCCTCCTTAACCGCTTTGTAAAGATTTTTTAAAACTTTTGTAGCTTCCAATTTTGGACAAAACCATAATAATTTGTTCTCGGTTTTTTCTCAAAAATATCTTTCCGAAGAGAACAAGCGAAACTTTATTATCAATTATTTGGAAAATTCGCCAACTTCGTCGCTGTGAATAATTCAGTTATTTTTAATTCAGGCTTCTTCACTTCTAGGTCAATATTTCTAAACAAAACTCTTTCCGAACTATGGCAAACTGAGGGTCTTTTCTCGTTTTAGACCAAAAACCAGAAAAACCGCATACTTAAGCAATCGTTTCTACAGAAAAGGTTAGGGTGAATTTTGAGCTGTTGGAGCAGTGCTGCGCAAATGGCTCAAAAAACTCAGTAACTCAGTTCCGTTGCTGAGAAAACGATACCCCGAATGTTAAAATTCCAGTCTAGGATTTCGTACAGCTTCGATCGGCTTTAATAAATGAGTCATGACTCATTCACCGATGAGTTATAACTCAGTAACTCAGAGAGCGGCAACAACTCAACACAGTGTTACCCAGGATTACTACACATGAACTGCGAACTGTTCACTTTTCCGTTTAGTTGTCCCTATTTGCGATGATTTTCTAAAGTTCATTTTAAAATGTTTTTGAAAACAACATCAATTAATTGCATGTTCTTATCTTATGACCGTGCTACTTTTTTCGCACCGTTCCCATTATGATTAGTCTTAATTCGATATGCAACTTGATTGAAGAGTATCGTAAACTGCGCTAATCTAAACCAGCTGCAATTGATAGATTGATAGAAAAAAATCAATGCAAATATATGCAACGTCATAGATATTCAAAACAATTGTAAAATGTTAATAAGATAACAACGATTTCTTACAACGCATGTAAACACTAAAACGTTGATATGATCAGGATATTGCGAGTAGCAATTATTGATCTCAGAAAAAGCTTTCTAGGCAATTAAGTAATTTGGAAAATTAAGGTGCGCCAAGACGAAATAACACGCATCTATCATGTTACACTTTATTTATGACTTGATACTCTTGATCAATCAGGTTTTTGGAAGACACGAATTTCTCAAAATTTATTAAATTCTCTCAAATACAAGGTTCACGTGTTTCTATTCTATAGGTAAAATTTCACTTTCATCGTCCGTCACTTGGTATGAGCCAGCATCGAACAGTACCGATGACCAAGAAGCTCAGGATCTGGCACTGCAATTTTCAGTGAGTTATTTTGAAAGCAGCTAAACAATAGGGTATTTTCATTCTATCAAAAATTCATATATATATACATATATATATGAAAGATTAAATAAGTTTATACTATCTATCAGCCGAATTTATGGGTGTCAAAGCAGCAGCGTAAGTAAAAACCCGTAAATTAATTATTAGTGACTCTCTCCTTAATATACTAATCTGTCTGTATTGGTTTAAATTAGGTAAATAATATATAGAATTTCACTTATTCAACTTAACCTAACTTATACACATGGCTG